CAGTTTAGGAAAATCAGCTAGCTCTATATCACTTGGCAGCATGGATATACTATTTTTAAATGCGAAACACCCCCGATTTCTTGAATCGTTTGTTAATCAGTAAAATGTTAAGTGGAGCAAAAAAGTTTGCTAGGTCAGTTGATGCGTGCATCCTATTACTTTTAATATTCGAAATTAAAAAAAAAATAGTGACAATACCATAGATAGCCAATTCTTAGTAACGGACATGTTGCTACAGGGTTATGTTCCTTTTTGTAATTTATCTTTGCTGAGAGGAAGGGAAATCGCGGTTCATTCAGACTCAAACCCATATTTGCTGCTTTGAGGAAATATACCTTTTCAGCACGACAACAAGGGAGTTTAAAGGAGTCTTACAATGAATCAACTTTCAATACAATTTAGGTAAAATAAAAGTCTATCTAGAAATAAAATCCAAACCCAATTGCAGTAGGTGAAATTAGCTGCAAAGGACCCCCTTTTTGCTACAGCAACACCCTGGCACATTTTTTAGTGTTTTTAAGACTCACAAAATGAGATATGGGATGGTTGCAACTGGTGTCATTCCAGAGAACATTAAGGTCCCTGTTTTCCCGCCTGTTAGTAAATAGATGTTTTCATTTAGGGTGGTAGAAAGTCCGATTGTAAAGGATAAATGGTTGAGAAAGTATCCTTTATTCTGTATTATTTGAACGTATTAAATACCTAGATAGAGGATTCGGTCTGAGGCGGTATCCTCTATTTTTCTGCATTATTTTTTTTAACTTAATTGTTAATAATATAACCTCATAAAAGCGTCAATTTCATGCTTTAAATATCATAATAATGCATGAGAAAGCTTAACATTGCATAGTTTATCTACCTTCACTTTATACTACACTTACATACAGGTACACAAAGTATTCGGTGACTGTCTGAGGCGGCACTGAATACATTCGTTGTTGAGTATCATATCGAGAATTGTATTAATATTTCATCTCATTTTGAATTATTTAAATGCTTTTGTCAAGATATGCAACTATTCTATTCCTGGTACGTACGTTAATGACTTTCTCGAGTTGTGTATGAATTTATCTGCCTTCACTTTATATTAATATACACTTGCATACAGGTACATGAAGTATTCGGTGACTGTCTGAGGCGGCACTGAATTCGTTGTTGAGTATCATATCGAGGATTGTATAAATATTTCATATCATTTTGAATTATTTAAATACTTTTGTCAAGATATGCAATAATTTTATTCCTGGTACGTACGTTAATGACTTTCGAGTTGTGTATGAATTTATCTGTCTTCACTTTATAAACTTACATACATGTACACGAAGTATTCGGTGACTGTCTTAGGCGGCACTGAATATATTCGTTGTTGGGTATCATATCGAGGATTGTATAAATAGTTTATATCTCTTTGAATTATTTACATGTTTTTGTCAAGATATGCAATAATTCTATTCCTGGTTGGTACGTTAATGACTTTCGATTATGTATTTATTTTATTTTAGTTAATATTTTTATTATCCATCCTTAGAATTCCATTGATCTATGTTGTGAATAGTTTTGTTAGTATTTACATCGTTATCAAGCTGTATACATTAAGTAATTGAAGCACATTTTTGGGTGGGGCGAGCGACCCTTCTCTGTACGTTCATTGTCCCTCTTGTGGGATGTTTTTGGGCCCCACCTTCTGCTGCATTCTGATATTGTAAAATCTGTAATCTCATTTGGCATTTGTAATAAATGCTCTATACACACACACACCCTCTTTATTATTTAACATGCTGCAGAACAGAGCTGCAAATGTGCTTCAGGTTCACATGAACCGAATTGTTCATCAGTTTCAGTATTTAAGAGCACATAAGTGTATTTATGTATATAAAGGAATTTATGTGATCTAAATACGTAATAAATTGCATATTTTTATTAATTACCAATTTGTTTGAATTCATGGGTCCCGAAGGGTTTTCCGGGTTTTATACTTAAGCGTCCTCTAGTAACGGCTATTAGCCTTATCCTTATCAGAATAACATTTCGGCTCCAAAATGTGGTTTACAAATTTTACCCACCACCACCCCTTCAATCCTCCATAATTATTGTTATTGTAGAAAATACATGTACTAGTTTCTTTTATATAAGGTGCCTATTGTTATTGCATGACTTTTGTTATTGTAGAAAATAGATGTACTAGTTTCTTTTGTTTAAGGTACTTATTGTTAATTTTGTAGAAAATATATGTACTAGTTTTCTTTTGTATAAGGTGTGGGATGTTTTTGGGCCCCACCTTCTGCTGCATTCTGATATTGTAAAATCTGTAATCTCATTTGGCATTTGTAATAAATGCTCTATACACACACACACCCTCTTTATTATTTAACATGCTGCAGAACAGAGCTGCAAATGTGCTTCAGGTTCACATGAACCGAATTGTTCATCAGTTTCAGTATTTAAGAGCACATAATGAAGGTCATTCATAAAATCTTTGATATTTACTTTTCAATGTCTTTGTCCGAGATAAAATTACAAGTACTAAAAAATAATTTTTACTTCATAAATCTACTTGTTCATCGATAGGTGCGGTAAGAAAAATCACACGTGTGCAGGGTGTGACAATAGAGAAAGAAGCGCGCTAAGGAAGCACTTGAATTTTCGGAATCAAGAGCATTTAAATATATATAACTTAGGAATATAACTGTTAAATATTTTTGTTTCATGACGATGATCAATCGATTGGCTTCCGTGATAATTTTATGCAAAAACCAAATGAAACCAAAAAATTAGTTATTCTTTCAATTCGGTCTAGAAAAATGACCAGGAAGCCTACAATTTATTATTACAAGCGAGACATTCTACACATGCGATATGCTGCTTGGTGTAGAAATGGTATGCTAAATATGCTTTCTTAGTATAAGTCATAAAAAAACTTTAACCCCGATAAAGTAATTTTGGAGAAAACAAACTCTGTGAAGCAATTTTTCAAAATACATGTATATTAGGAGCGGGTTTTTGGAAATGTACTATTTAACGTGCATACAGTGTATCTACATTACATGTAGCAGCACGCAGTGTTACAACGCACTTTGAAAAATTACGCACTTTGAAAAAATTTTTCAAAGTGTGTTAATTTTTGGGACCAGGTTAACGCACTTTGAAATTTTTTTTCAAAGTGCGTTGAATTTGGGGACCAAATCAACGCACTTTGAAAAAAGTTTTCAAAGTGCGTTAAGACTGTACATCATAATTTTACACCATGTCAACATTTAACGCACTTTGAAAAAATTTTCATGAAACAAAAGGAATTAGACTTATATTTTAGAAATAGACAACAGTATTACCCCCTCGCAACGTATGATGGGATATAGTGATGCGATTATGTGTGTTATTACTTTATGTGTATGTTATTTTTTCTGTGTGGAATTGATGTAATTTGTATCGCGATCGATGTCAAATGCTGCCTTGATTTACTGAACATGCTTTTTGGGAAGGAATGCTCCGCTTTGCAGTGCCCTTACTTTGATGTGTTTCTTTCTAAAAACTGATGGATTGAAGAAAACCTAGAAACGGACAACGAAGAAAAGACTGGTTGAATTAAGGTCTATCAGCTCAACTCTTTATCATTCCCACCCAGATGTATCCATTTCTATAACTCGTAAACTTAAGTGTCAATGATATTTGAAAAAAAGAGCATTCTAAATACAATATAAGCACTGTACAAGGAAGTCTGTAGTAAATCGAAATTTTGTTCTTTTAAATCTCAAAGTCTGTTTATGTTCATTTTCAGGAAAATCAGAATATTAATTACATTTAATTATATTAAGTACCTGTCTGCTTTTCGATGTTAATTTGATACCATATCTGATAATCTCTCTGTTAACCTCCAGGTATTTAACTTACATGATATTTTCATAGGAATTGTTCATTTAACATGTATCTAATATCTTTTCTCATGTTTTACGCAAATAAATAAAGCAAATATATTTAACTAATAAAATACAATTATTTAGTTTTCAATAGATTTAAAATTGGTGAAAAATAAGCATTTTTTTTTCGTTTTTTGTCTATAAACATATGCCCCCCCTCCCCCCCCCCCCCCCCCCCGTGAAACACAAAAAAGCTTTGGCATAAATTTGTAAAATAACAGTCCATATTATCTGTAAAAAGGAATTTTTGTTTCACGGGGAGGGGGGGGAGATGTTTAAAAAATATTTTCAGTTTTCCGTTGATTTCTAAAGTGGAAAACACAAGTTTTGCCAAAATTATAGAGTTATCTCTCTTTGGTATCCCAAATAAGTAAGGTTTTATGAAAATTCATATAAATATGTATAAAAATTTTGAGAATCATTCCAAGAATTTTAAGAATTGACTTAGAGATAGGCGGAAGAATAATACTATCGTTCGTAGTTCTTTACGACCTTGAATGTTGACCTTTTGACCCCAAATTCAAAAGGGGTCTTCTTCCTAAGGCCACAGGGATTCTGTTATGTTAAATTTCATTGCGAAAGCTCAAAGGGTTGTCGAGATATCGTGTGGAAACGACAGCGTTACAGAAGGACGGATGGACGGACAGTTAGACGGACGGACGGACAGGTAGACCCAAATTAATACCCCCACTTTTCAAGCGGGGGACAAAAGGTATCAAATCAGGTTCAAATGATAAGTTATCATACTTAAGATTTGTAGGAATATTGACTAAGCCATGCAGAATTTTTTTTTCAAAGTGCGTTAATATGGTCCATATTAACGCACTTTGAAAAAAAAAAAGATTTTCAAAGTGCGTTAACCTGGTCCCAAAAATTAACGCACTTTGAAAAATTTTTTCAAAGTGCGTAATTTTTTCAAAGTGCGTTGCCACAACGCAGAGACGCACGTGGTATACGTCTGATGTGACAGAATTTAAATATTGCACATTTTTTCATCTTGGTTAACTATTAATTTTTTCTATTCAAAATCTATGAGTTTATAAAGATGAATACATCTAAATCCCGAAAATTTTATTTTAAATACAGCTTACTTTTACCAGCGCTGGTGCAGAAATAGGTTGGATTGTCTACATAATCAATATTGTTTACAATATGGTGATCTTGGGGTCTGCTCAGCGACCAAAACAATTAACATTTCTACCGTAGAAAAATACAACAGAGGTAAGATGGAATATATTTCCGTTCCATTTGTCCGTAAATACTTTATCATTAACGGCAGATTTCGTTATAAATGAAACCATAAATCTATTTAGGGCAGGGGTTGTTCAGGTCTTTTTATAAAATGTTGTCAATTTCGTTTTTCGACAATCTTCAATGACTTTCGATCACTTAGATTTACTTATTCGTTTATCATAACTCGTTTAATTGCAGTATAAATGGATTTAAGGAAACTTTTTCAGATAGTTTAACTCCGAAGCATGATATTGTCAAAGAAATTAGTTTATTTCGAAATGCTATTTCATGTATGTTACAGTGAAAAGTTTTTTTTTGTAATACAATGTGAGCTGTGTAACCTTTTTTGTTAAAGATTCATGTACATTAATCAAAACAATTAACATTTTCCATTTTAAGAGATTAAAATAAATATTTCCTTTGATCTTATCTACAATTATTCCAGTCACCTACGTGGCTGAAATATAGGACAAAATTTGCAGCTCTTCGTTTGCAAGTAGTGGCGTCTCCATCATCCTCACAATATCAAGGGTTTGTGATTTCTCAAACTCCACATTTGAGTGGAGTTCGAGAAATTACAAACCCTTGACATTGTGAGGATGCGTCTCCATACGAGTAAATATTCTCGAGAGGGACGTTAAACAACGTACACACAAAGAATTAAGGAAACCCCAAAATACAAAAATCTGAAAATATTTTCTTTATAGAAAACAGAACTGATGGATATGATATTGGACATGTGGTTGGTGCAGCTATTGGTGGGCTCGTTACAGGCTTAGGAATTTGGGCTGCTGTAGTGTTCATTTTAAAAAAAAAATCAAAAAAGCCTGAAGGATCAATCGAGGTTAGATTTTTATTAAGATTTAAAACATCCATAGACTAAAGAACAGACATAGAAAAGCAAGTTTTAAATCCTATATATTTGTACAATTTCTGTTTAGACGTTAATAATTATGATGGGCTTCTTTGAATTTCAATTTGGTCGTGGGGAGTTCATTGAAAAAAAAATGAGGAAAGAAGTATCAATTTTTAGGGGTTTACTCGACGTATTTAAATTGATACGAAACCATGAAAATGAAATATATACTCTTCAAAAAAGGAAACGCATAGTAGAATTTTAGTGACACATTGAACATAAAGATTATTTAGTAAGATGATGCATTGATAAAACAGAAATGTGGTAAGCAACACGACTACTGTCTAAATGTCATAATTACTCAACAATTTTAAAATTACAGTCAGTTTTAGACCATTAAAGATCAATATCTGGTATGCCCCCCGCCAGACACAAATGATAGCCACAAAAGACATCTAATTGAAGCAAATGTGTGTAATAAAAACTGTATAGGAATTCTCTCCCACTCCAAATGTAGAACTTTAGTCAGCTGTTGCAGAGTCTGGGGATGCGATTGTCTTTGGCAAATCATGTCAATCCATTTTGTCCAATGCTGCTTAATTTGGATTAAATCTAGCGATTTAGATGACTGTGACTGAAACAGGTTGTTGGTTCTTTGCAAGAATAGGTTTGTCAAACGAGCCATATGTGGCTGTGTATTGTGAGATTGCATTACAGCTCTAGGATGCTGCAAAATTGAATGGGTATGTGTAGAAAGAACATGGTTAGGGTACCTTTTTTACATCAAAGTCCATTGAATTCGAACCAAATCAATCTTAATTTCTTATGATACCGTTTTCCATATCATTACACTACCACCACCAACTTTTTTAACGTCCTGGAGGCAGTTATCTCTCTAACATTCATTACAAAAGCATTAGGACTCTTAAACTTATAAGAGGCTTTCAGATAAACATTCTGGACTTGTAGGTTAACCAAACTGTTCAGCAGTGAAGCTGTGGTCATACTCAATTGAACTGAGATCTTTGAAGTCGATATTTGTGATGCTGTGGGGTCAGAACAATGGCATAAAAATCTTCTTGCAATAAATCATAGTCAACTGAAAACAGTCTTGTTAGATGATATGTGCAGTTCAGGGATAGCTAACGCTTTAGATAGCGTCCTTGCATTACATTCATGCAACTTTCGTAATCCTCGGAAGTGATGCTGTGCTGCTGATGTCATACGTAGTCTACCATATTTTTTGCGAACATTGGGTGTTCGATGTTAATAGTTTATGTTTTATAGGTTAGAAATTGTCTGTGTATAACATTACAACCTCTAGCACTTGTAGATTGCGATACCCCTGCTTCCAGTCGCCCATTTTCCTTTTCGTGCTACGCAACATTCAGATGCAGCATTTTTAGGAAGCGTCATTTTTCAGATAAAACCAGATTCAAAATATCGAGAACCCCCGCTTTGGACAGCCCCTTTGTACCTGAAGGAATTACATCGGAATTCAACAAATGAAAACTGAGAGATAAAAATTTTTGGGAAAAATTTTGCAAAATCAGGTCTTTTTGTCTGTGAGACTTGTGGAATAGCTGTTAAGTTAACAAATGCATAAAAAATTATGCATTTCACTCAAATATATCGTATCCATACAAAAATAAAAGGTATGAAAAACTATCATACATTTTCAGGGCATTGTTTCTACTGTGCGTTTCTTTTTTTTTTGAAGAGTATATATTCCAAATTTTTACAAATAGAAAACTAAAACGGAAATGTTAGCTTCTTTTTCAATTGATGATGGGCTGAAATATATATATATATATACGAGGGCTGTTCAATAAATAATGTCCTCGGTGCTCAGAAAGAAGCAAACGACGCTTTTCAATGATTTAGTCTTCATGATTTTACTTATTAATCTCTTTTAAGTAAAATACATGTCCAAAACATTTTTATATAATTTCTGATTGTTTTTAGAACTCATTTTTGGGTATGACCCTTAGTATACTGGAAAATGGCAGATCCAATGATTTCCTGGACTTGTCTTTTCCTTCTGAAAGGTGTTTTTTTTTCAAGTTTGGAAATAGAAACAAGTCAAAAGGTCAAAGATCTGGCGAATATTGTTAATGTGAATAAACATTAACTATCTGTTTATCCCGAAAACCCCTTTTCTCTTCAGGGCATGCTGGTTTGGACGCTGTCTCGAAGAAATTGAATGTAGTGGATTCCTTATTCTGGGTCCTTCCTCTAATAAACCTTTTGATTTTTTTGCAAAAAAAATTGCTTTCTAGACTCCTCCAGAAATTAATCTGTCTCTCCGAATACGAATTTGAACAACAATACAACTAATTTTTAAGAAAACTACATATAAATATATCTTTGTGCTCTTGAATACTCGGCTCTTGTCAGACATTCGCTGTTTTTATCAAGTACATCTTATGGTAAATTTTGTTTTGAAAGTTTTAATCAATAGATTCATGTTCTAATATCTGTTTGAAAATAAAACAAACTTGGATAACTAAAATTACTGATATTTTAAAATAATTGTTAAGAATTTCGTATACGCTGTCGTTCTCACTCATTTTTCAAAATATAGGGTGACCTTTGAGTACCAAGCTTTTGTATCGTCAAACGTTTCTTTAAAACAGTGTAAACTACTCCCGATATGATGTCTATCAAATTTGCTATGTGTCTTAAAGTCAATCATACATCATCAAATATTATTTGTTGAAATTTGGCAACCAGTACATAAGTTGTTATAATTTTTGTTGGCAAGGAGGGTACCTATTTTTGATGCCCATTATATAATCTTTTTTATCATTGAAATCCAGTTGCTCTTTTGTCTATAAAACAGGCATTGGTTGCAGTAAATGTCATATATTTCAGTGAATATTTCTTTCGGATTTTTAACAAGTTTTACGGAAGCTATAATGAAGCTTTTATTTTCACTCTAGTTTACTGATTCTTTACCATTCATTTATAATGCGGTGTCTCGAAAAGCCCTTGTTTCCCAGCTTCTCTCGATGAAACTATGTGATGAAAAGTGGTCACATAAACTGTTATAAATTCATGAAAGATTCAATAATGAGAGAAGGTCGAGTTTAATGTCATATGGTATCTGTAATGTATGTTATATAGTTCAGGACATTATTTATTGAACAGCCCTCGTATATATATATATATATATATATATATATATATATATATAGTTTTGTGCCATGCGGATTGTGGGTTATTTTGCGTCTTTTTCAGTCACGTTGTGGGTACCATGGGTGGTTTATGGGTCATTATATATTGACCCACAAACCATGTGCCTAAAATTTTGTTTATGACAAGAAAATAGTAAGTATATTCATTTTTTACAAAAAAAAAATTTTTGACCCATAATTACACAATCAAAAAATGACCCACAATGCAATTTTATATATATGAAATCTTACCGCTGAGTGCATTGGCAGGATTTCGCGCGTGACCCACAATATTTTATATACTTTCCCATGAGTATTGGAGGGATAAGGGAAAACTGCTAGATTTTATAGCCTAATTGCAGTGAATCATTGTTAAATTTTAACGATTTTTTTTATTTATATGTATGAGCTTTTGTTTTTAATGTACTACATTGTATAAATCTACAAGAAAAAAAAGGCTTATTTATTCTAAACTTTTTATCGTACGATAGTTGTGTTCTTCCTAAAGTTTATATATCTAAATACAAATTCTTATAAAGATGTGAACGAAAGCTTCAATTACTAATTATTTGAAAGAAAAAAACGACTAAAATGTTGCTATGAAGATCGCGCGTTAAGAAGTGAATCGCGATGTTTCAATAATTAAAAATATACGTTAGGTTGAAATCTCAGAAAATCATTTACAAATTTAGGTTTATTCAGAAAAAAATATCACACATTGAGATTTAAGGGAAGTGTAATCAAATAAACAATTATTGAACATTTTATAGATGGAAAAGTAAATACTCAGTATCCGACGGTGTTCTATATTATTCAATGTATTGACCCAGAATAATGTATAGTTGCCTGTATTTGGATCCCGCAATTTCTATATCTTTGGGAAGGTCAACATTACCGCTACATTGCGAAAAATTTCAATTCATTTACACTACATTTCTTGGAAATTAAATTTCGGGTGATCAATACCGTTATATTTTATCAATACATGTAAGACTTTTGCCGATTAAAACTCATTACCGATACATATCGAATCAGCCAGCATTGGAACAGAATTATACTTGTATACTGACCCACAACTCGCTTCTGTACATTGATCTTAAATAATATAAGTTAATTTATAAAATACATCATTTATGACAGAAAATGCCTCTTAAAAATAAAAGTTGGATTAAGTAATACCGGTATATGCTTGCTTTTACGTGTAAAGAGTAAAAACACATTCTGCTGCATCTGACCATGTATTTGTTTTATAAGACATAAACACATCGGTTCATGATCATGCATAAATAAGAAAAAAAATGTCGTACGCGGTCTTCTTTGGTTTATGCTTAGACAGATATACGTTGCTTAAATTTTAGTCAATGGGGCTTGGTTCCAGGATTGTGTATTTTTAGCTCTACTGGTCAGAGACCAGAAGAGCTTATGCGATAGTAATGCGTCCGTCGTCCGTCCGTCCGTCTGTCTGTCTGTCTGTCCGTCTGTCTGTCTGTAAACAATTTTTCAATATGCTACTCCTCCTACAGTTTTGGTCTGATTTCAGTATAACTTGGCACACAAGTAGACTACACTAAGATACATAATTCTGTGTATCGGTTTTTGATTTCGATGAACGGTGTTGCCGTGGTTACTAAAAATAGAAATTTCTGTGAAATTCTTTCAAAATGCTACTCCTCCTACAGTTTTAGTCTGATTTCAATATAACTTGGCACACAAGTAGACTACACTAAGATACATAATTCTGTGTATCGGTTTTTGATTTCGATGAACGGTGTTGCCGTGGTTACTAAAAATAGAAATTTCTGTGAAATTCTT